GAAAAACACAATACACAGGTAGAGATGTTTATTTTTTTTATATTTTAAATATTTCTAAAAAGTACACAAATGCCTAGCTTGGGCTACCTGTGATCGCCTGGCTATTTTGATGCTCAACTCCAACTTTTCAAAGGTGAAAATACATACTTGGATTTTCAANACTGGCGCCAGTTCTACCTCAAAATATCTCCAAAGAGGAGTTTACTACAAATATTGAATCGTTCATCATTCGTAAGTTTAATTCTGTCTAATTAGTGTTTAAGCTGATTTTTGCCTAAATCCATGTAAAGACGTTTTTTTTGTCTAGAGGCTGTATAAAAACTATTTCCTTCATCATTTTTACTAACTTGCGTCCTTCCGCCTTTAAGAAAAGTAATCAACTCAAACGATCATTCCATTAAAATGCACTTAGCGAATCAAGAATGATATCTTTTAAATCTCGTTTTAAACAAATGGCGAGGAAATAGTTTTAACTATTTAACTTTTTTTTATTTATGTTTTAAAAAACATAAGCTGCAGTGGTTAATAGGGATCAGCCATCATTGCAGTATAGTAGAGACTATCGCAAGATGTTTGATAAAATGTTGTAATTTTTTTCCGTTGTCGTTGAAATTTCACTGAACTAGAAAAAAAGGACGAATAGCTGTAGCTGCTGAGTGTAGATCTAGTTTACTATAAATGACTCCGAGCTTGCGCTTTCTTAAGCATCATCAGGGAATGAGCGAGAATAAAATGCATAGAATTAGAAGAGAGGAGCGGTCAAGTTTCACAATAAAAACATGAAGAGACAATAGGCGTCCATAGGTTAGAGAAAAGAACGATAGTTTCTATACTGTTGAAAAGTGTCTGAAATCATATGGTAGCACTAATTCACAAACACTTTGCTTGGTCTTAGGATAGAGTTAGGTACTGTAGAGTTAAGATTTAGGAGAAGCAGACGGGTTCATGGAAGAAATATACATGTGTTCTTATGTTTATGTCCCAGCAAGCTATAAGTCGCAACTGGATGCCAGCGAGAAATTCAGGAAAAAAGAAGTCTCCAGGCAAAGAATGCTTTCTAAGATTTTTTTCCAGGAAAATAAAAATTTCCTAACTAAAAGCATTACATAAGCCTTTTTTTTCCTTAAAAACGTTTGGGAAAAAGGAAGTGCGCATGATTTGCTTGTGAAATTGTCAAAAATTTAGCTCAAAATCCCTATCCCAGAAAAAAAAACTCGTACAAGGACAGTTATTTAGAAGAACAGACCCCGTCGGCTCCTCCTGCTATAAACGACTCTGAGCTTTTGCTGTCTAAAGCATCATCAAGGAATGAGCGAGATAAAATAAAATACGTAGAATTATAAGAGAGGAGCTGTCAAGCGAACCATGAATAGCTGTATAGTCAATAGGCGTTTACGGTAGAGAAAAGAACCGACTAGTTTCTATACTGTTAAAAAGTATAAAGGCCGATTTAGACGGCACAACGTTTGCTTAAAACCATCGCACTCAACCTTTGTAAGTCCACCTTACAACATTGCTTTAAAACAATTGCTTAATAGCCCCACGGCAGTTGTGACCATGATGTAAGGATGACTTACGCAGGTCGTATGTGATGGTTGTAGATAAAAGTTGTATGATAGCACTAATTCACAAACACTTGGTTAGGGTTGGTCTTAAGTTTAGGATAGAGTTGTGTTATAAAGTTAAGATTAGGGTTAACTTAGCCTTAGGCTTAGAGTTATATGCTTACGGTTGTCAGGACTCAGGTTAGAACGGTTCTAGAGTGCAAAATGTTGCAGTATAGCGTAGATTACACATTAGAAGATAAAGTTRTTGTTATATTTCATTGCAATTTTGCACATTTTACAAACCAAAAGACTGTGCAATGTTTATGTAAGGATAGCGCTTATTGCGCAAACATTAACGTTGTGGTTTCTTTTTTCTTCTTCTTTTCTTTTTTCCTTTTTTCCTTTTTTTCGTTTAAACATATATAAATCTATCTCTGTGATATATAGTGAAAATCGACAAATGTCGTCTGCGAGGATATTACATGGCGCGCAGAGATACGGGTTTTATCTTCGAGTGTTAAAAAGATCTGAGAGATTTTTAACACGAGAAGATAAAATTCGTATCTCCAAGCGACCATGTAATATTCTGTTTATCATATATAAATAATTACATAGGAAAGCAAATTATGTCGTAAAAAACCCTTCATTACTTCCACTATATAGAGAAACCTCGAATGTGTTATATTCACTAGTGAAAATGTCAACTTTACGAAATGGAGAAATATAGGTATTTCATAGATAATTATATGATAACAGAAGTACATAACCAGAAGTGTCCATCTCCCCAATAACATTGACACCATCAGATGTCCCGATAATCTATTTTTAGACAACCAATCACAACGCACGCGCATATTACACGGCACCTGATTGGTCCTTGTTGTTGATC